TATAATATTTAAATTAAATTTAATAAATTTAAATTTTTTATAATAAATTTTAATTTCTAAATATAGTAATAGTTAATAGATATATATAAAAAAAGTCATAATCCAAAACTAAAATTATATAAGAAGGTTTTTGTAGTATAATTGTAATTTTGAGTTTTTTATTTTAGTTTTTAAAAATTTAAAAACCTTGTAATAAAATTAAGTAATTTTATGAATGAATTAAATTTAAAATTTGGGGCATTTCTGTTAAAATTATATGTCCAATGTATTGGTAATTTTAATTTTTAATTTTGGTTTTTAATTGTTAATTTTGTTTATTTGAATTTTAAATTTATTTATTACAATAATTAAGACTTATATTTCTATTTTTGCCCTTACTTATAACTAAACAAAAAAAAGTCTAATATGCATTTTGATCTCTTTAAATATAAGAACAATATTAAAATGTTAACATTTAATATCTTATTAAACTGCTTTCATTTTAAAAATAAGATAATTAAATCTGATTGAAAATAGTACAATATTTGCTTAATTGAGCATTTGGTTTAATAGTATGATTCTTACTTTTCTTTTCTTTTCTTTTTCTTGGGTACATTGACAATTACCTACTTACAAAAATTTAAATATTTGATCTAAACCCCAAATCAAGATATCTTTACTTGATATTACAAAATTTTAAATATTTGATATTAAGCCCAAATCAATATATTTTAACTTAATGATACAAATTGAGCCAAAGTCTTCTCATTATGATTATAACCTTTTCTTACTTCTATGTGAACAGATCTAACCTAAATTCTAGAGACGCACCTACTGCTATACTTTTCTTACTTCTATGTGAACAAATCTAACTTAATTTCTTGAGATGAGCCAGCTGCTACGAGGAAAGTGGGCCATTGCGCCACAAATTATGGTCCGTTTGACAAAGTCGATATGTTATATACATTTTAAATTTGTATTCAATTCTAAAATACTTATAAATAACAAAAAAAAAAAAAAAATCAGCAGAACCGCGTCTTTCGTCTCCATTCTTTCATATGGATGAATCATTATTCCTCAAACCAAGTAATCATCATCTCCTATTGTGAACTGCAAATCCTACTTGGTCTAGCAAGGTGTTGTGCACACTCATGCTACCACTAGCATCAAAGTACTCATGGTAACCAGATTTAACAGATGTTTCACCAAGCAAGTACTCTGCTTCTCCTGCATCCAATGCTTCGTTAACCCATCGATGCTTTGTCATACTTCTCAGTTCCTCTAATTTCATAGCCACTTCCTTCATTGTAGGCCTTTCCTCCCCTTTCACACTCAAGCATCTCCTTGCAAGATTAGCTACCTCATTGATCTGCTCAATGTTTGCTTCGTTCATTATACAACCATCAAGAATTTTTCCCAAACAAATTATCTTTCATTGCAAAAAGAAAATAAATGGAAAGATTTCTCTCTTCCTCTACCCTGTCAAAGGAAAGTACCTTTTCTCCGGTCAAAAGCTTGAGAAGGACAACTCCAAAGCTATAAACATCACTTTTCTTTGTTAATTGGCTTGTATGCAAGTACTCAGGGTCCAAGTATCCAAGAGTTCCTTAAACAACCATAGTTAATCCAGCCTTGTCTTGTGGAACCAACCTTGAAGTACCAAAGTCAGATTCTTTTGCTGTGTAGCTATCATCTAAGAGTATGTTTGTAGATTTTATATCTCTATGAATGATTGGTGTAGAGGCTGTAGAGTGCAAATATGATAGCACTCCAGCAGTTTCTACTGCTATCCTTAAGCAGATTTCCCAGGTCAATGATGAAGCCTTAATTTTATTGTGGATGTGATGGTGGAGAGTGCCATTGGTAATGAATTCATATACCAACAATGGAACCTCTGTCTCTATGCAACAACCTAATAGTTTCACCACATTTCTATGGTTGATTTGTGAAAGAACAACCACTTCATTTATGAATTAATCATTTTGACTTTGATCAATAATGTGGGACTTCTTAATAGCAACAATTCTCCCATCTCTAAGAGCTTCTTTGTAAACTGTCCCATAACCTCCTTGACCTAGAATTCCGCTTTCATCAAAGTTGTTTGTGGCCTTCTCAAGTTCTTCAGCTGTAAAAATTTTAGCTGTTTCTGCAGATCTTCGTAGTTGGATAGTTGTTGTTGCAACATCAAACCTCCATTTTGCATGAACTTTTGTTTGAGTTTGATGAGCTTCCATTTATTATATCCCCGGGACAGCCAAGTGCCTACTACCAGGAATAATGCAAGGCCTCCAATCCCTTCGCAAGTTAAAGAAATAAAAGTGATTATGCGAGCTGACAGAACATATTTTGACTAAAATGGAACTTAAAAAGTTCAAAAAAAAAATTAGTGTTTTGCAATCCAAACCACACCAGACTACAAAACACTAGCCATTAGTTTATGTGAGATCCTTGATATTAGAGGAAGGCCACTCCATCCAATCCAGACTACAAACCACCATACTCTTAAAAGTGTTCCCAACTATAGGAAGTTAACTAAATTGTTCAGCAGACATTCTACTTTTAGTAATTCATTGTTGGGTTCATATTTAGAACAAGCTTAGGAGCTGTTTTGATTACTTAAACAAAAATGGGCAGAAAATAAAATATGAAGTTGAAATCAACAAAACTGCAAAAGTATGTCGGATATGACCACTTGGTGGTGGAATAAAATATGTGTACCTTGCCTACAGGGACCAGAATTAGATTCCAATCATGCTGCTGATTTGCAACGCAACCTCGTTCACCATTTATTTCAACACGATGGTAACCTTTGGGGCACGAATATGTATAACTTCCTACTGTATTGGTGCAGATCATATCTTTACAATCATTGCAATTAGGGTCTAAACACTCATTTATGTCTACAAAAAGAATGAAACCCATCAGAACAAGAACTACTATTTTGACTTACTTAAAATACGACACATACAGCTTGATGGGTTACCTTGGCAACCACTAGGTAGGTATGGATTTCCTTCAAACCTTTTGAGCAATTGCATTGATATCCATAATCATCAACAGGAATGCAATAGCTATTTCCTTGGCATACATTTGCTTTATTACCACATGTATGGTTGATGTCCCAAATTGACCAATCAAGCATCAGAGGGAGTTTACTAACATTTTGCAAGTCGAGAAGATCATTTGAAGAAAAGTTGAACTGATCTTCCATGATGAAGCATAGCTACTAGGGTTAAACTTCCAAACTCTTGTATGATTATATTTTTGCTACTAGTCACTGTTACATTGATATTGGTTGTTCCTTTGGAATGGATGTCTGGCAACAGCCAGTACCAGAATATGTGTAATTGGTTACATAGTCAATGCTGTCACATTTGGTTATGCAACGTGCAATGTAGCTTTTATTCCCTTGGATACCTTGAACACCTTCTACATATGCTATCGTGTCACAGCCAACAGCAACAAACTTGTTATCAGTGTCAAAGATGGTATCACTGTATAAATTTACATGGAGCCAAGGATTGTCCCTGTAAGTCGATGCCCCAGACTTATCATAGCAATCACGGGCTATAAATTGCATTATGTGTAGTTTCCCTTTAGGATCTATGTTGGTGACATTGATTGTACTATTAGCTAAAAATGCTAATGGGGGATCAAAAATGCCATCGCAAGTTATGAGAAAACTGTCATTTTAGTAACACCATTCGGTTGTACCGAATGGATATGGGATACTTACATTACCACACTTATCTTGACAACCAGGTTTTGCAATAGGAGCTAGTTATACTACAATTGCTGCTAATGGTGGTGCAATAAGGATGACCAGCCAAAACCTTTCATGAATCCCCATGGCTGCTGCTTCCTGCTTTCTTTAGATTGGGCTTCCTCAAAAATCTAGATTCAAGTTCTTAGAACAAAGAACTTCAGAAAGTTAGTTCTTTTATTCATAGACTTGTAAAAGACAAATTCAATATTGGATCTCAATATGAAAGTATTCTATTAATGTCTAGCTTTGGCATGACTCTGAAGCAACTATATATAAACTTCTGTTGAAAACTCTAATTCTAAATTGTGCTCAATATGTGTAAGTAGGTAGACCTACCATGAAATACTAAACTAATATGAAAAACCTTTTCCGTGGACCAAATCGATGTATATACGGATGCATTATGAGTTCATGACTTAGCCAGACCTCTATCAGATAATAAAATAGTACCCACCATTAGCTAATAAACAGAAGAACATCTTGATATTCAAATTTTCGATTGGGAAAAAGTCAACTGTTCATTGTTTTTTAAAAACATAGAAGCCCTTACTTCTGTACTAGTGGGTTTGTAAAAATTAGAAATGTTCAACTATCTCTTAGAGCTTACATTTGGCCATTTCAACAGTGATGCAATGCAATAACGTAAATGTTAAGTTTATTTATTGAAGGGATTATTGAACCTGATGTGCAGCTTTGTTCAAAGTACCACTACCAACCAAGCTAACAGGTGATGAGCATTGAGCATACTCCCAGACCCAGTCGCAGCTAAAGTGGGTGAGTAACTCCTTTCTCATGGAGACAAAGTCCCCCAAGTGTGTGGTATCCTATTTTGACTATTTGTTTCCCAAAAGAAAATTTTGGCACAAAGGCAAACACATACTATCCTGAATACGCGCAGAAAAAAAAAAACTCAATTAAACACATTATTATTTAAAATTAAATTAGTTAATAATTTAATATATGATATATAAAAAAGATTTAAGAATTTTATTAAATTATGTAAAAAGTTTATTAATTTTGAATAAGGTAACTTTTTAATTTTAAAAAAAATAAAAATAAATAATTTACCAAATACATAAGTTACAAAAAAATTCTACAACAAATACTATAAACAACATTATCAAACTAAATCTAAATTCAATCAACAAAATACAAAGATTTGCTTAATAGGATTAATTCTTCAAATATAAAAAAATCATTCGATTTAATAATATCAAATATGATTCTTACTTTTGTTTCTATTTTTTTATATATTAAAAAATTATATATTTAATATTATAAAATTTTTAATTTTTAATTTTAATTTTATATCAAAATATTTTAATTTAATAAATACCAATTCAATCCATTGCTTTTTTTTTTTTTTTGTAGTAATTCAATCCATCACTTCTCAACGTGATTATTACTTTTACGTACATCTCTGTGAACGCATCCAACTTAAATTCTTGAAACGAGCCAACTACTAATAGAACAGTGGACCGCTGAGCCACAATTGTGGTCCATTTGACAAAGTCGTACCCTTCTCAACGTGATTATTACTTTTTCGTACATTATGTGAACACATGTAACTTAAATTCTTGAAACGACCCAATTACTAATAGGACAAGGGACCATTGCGCGACAATTATGGTCCGTTTGACAAAGTCAGTGTGATACTTATAAACATTTGAAGATGAGCAGTGCTAGGGGCACTCGCTTTTTGCACTCTCCGGCCAACACTTCCCTTTTCATTGGGCCAAGTAAGCTTGTTTAAAAGCTTTCAGCGCAACCTTTCGGAAACCAAAATAACATAGCCCAATAAAAGAGAAAGTGTTGGCTAGAGAGTGCAGGAGCCGAGTGCCCCTAGCACTGCTTTTGTACTAAATTAAGTCTAAAACCAGGAGGCACTGGTTGTATTGATCGGTACAAAATAACATTGATAATCTTATAAGATAAATACATAAAAAAACTAAAAAATAAAAATTATATAAAAATTTAAAATTAAGAGATTAAAATTGATATTTAAGCTTATAAAAATAAGACTGAGGTCATTGAAAAAAAAAACAGAGAGAGAGAACGGAGCCGGTTTCTGTGCATAGAGATCGGCTCTGTTTTTTTTTTTTTTGGGCCCATGGACCAAAACAAATTATTTCGGCCTTACTTTATCACAATTTGTCAATTTTTGACCGGCCTGACATGTCTGTGTCGGTGGGGCAGGCCTGTGACAAGCAGGTGCTAACAAGCTTGTCATTTTCTCAACAAAGTCTTGGCTTTTGAATCCAACGGCTTGGATTTTTTTATAAAAAAA